GTATGGCAGCTGCTTTCTTTGAGGGTTGCTTAGAAAGAAGCAGAAGATGAGTTTGATTTTTCGGTACTCATGAGTGTCAATTTACCACCGAAACAAATAAATGAATCGTAGAAAGACTGTTTGTCTTAATGATCGAATAAAGACTTTGATTTTCAGAATGTAAAGAGCTGGCATGTCATTTGTACGTAAAGAAACATATGGGAGGAAAATAGGATTGCGGTAGAAATAGCACATTTCCGGGAAAAATGGAATAGGGACGCAGAGGGACGAATGCCAGGACCATCAGATAGTATAGCTTCGGTTTCAGCAACCATGAATAATTTGTCAGCTGTTTTGGAATAAAGTTATTTTGGAGTGAAATGACGGTGAATCGAAACATGTTTCATCCTGGATATTCCCCTGAATCAGACATCCAAGTACAGGGTCAACAGACCTTTTACGTGTTTACTGTTACGCTGTGAGTTTGGGAGCATTCCAGTAATATCACTGACATAGGACCATCACATCGACTGTCTGGACGGTCTCAACATCTTGGTATTGTAGGCAAGACTATATGGAAGTTTGTCAAAATATTCTTCATGGCAGGGAAGGGATGAAGGATAATAATGATGATGACGACGACTTACAAAAATTTATGTAGATGCAAAAAAACCCCTAGTAACTAGAATTTGTGACATACTGTCCTCGAAGTTCAAGAAGTTAATTGTGCGACTACGTGGCACTTGGACAGGAAACGTTTCGTCAAAATTTCGGCTTTCCAGCTTTCCTGGTTTTCGAGTTAGCAATTTTCTCGCAAAAACATTCACTGGGCCATACGTGAGAACCACGCACAACTAGGGGTTGAATTTGAGGTCAAGTTGTACGTGGGCTGGGAACATATTAAAATTTCAGCCTCCCAGCCTATCTAGTTCCTGACTTAGCGGTTTACGGACCAAAACTTTACTTGCTTGTACGTGGGGCCCAGACAAGCATGAAAGTTGATACCGCGTTACTGGGGTGGCACTTGACTGGGGAACCTATTGGCAAAATTTTGACACCGGAGCTTGCTTGGTTGCCGAGTTGAAATACCAGGGCAACATACAGACGCGAGCACACATGGGCCATCACAATATGTGTTTTTGCATTTGCATATATGCAAAACGCACAAAACATCGAAAATCTGCTAAAAATGTTCTTTCCACAAACTGTCACGCTCTGCTGATCACTCTCCATCGCAGTTAAAACTTTTTCGCCTCAAAAAGTTCGTTTTGCGACAGCGCGTGATATTCTGATCCGACTAGTGCTTCTGTATTGAGAAAATATAGGAAAACGTTTTAAAAAAAGACAGTCAAAACGGGAAAAATCTCATGACGCTAGTCACACAGCACAGTGAGGTGGATAATAACACTGTTTGATGATGGTCTTCCGAGCAGAAACTTTTTGAATGTGTCGTGATCTGATTAATCCAGCTGCGAATGGAAAGTACATCCAAGATATATTCCGTCACAGTTGCCAGGATGGAAAAAAAAGCGGCTACACAAATATTATTCCAGACAAAGCATTTCAACACATTATTGCCCTTTCTGGATTTTCGTATAAACCGCCAAAATCAATCTTTTGCATCACTTTTGTATAGCAAAAATGCACTAAGGCAAGATCTTGTCTGCGAGTATTCTGTTTGTTTATTTGATCACATGTATTAATTCTTGAACTACGAAGTTCAAGAAAACGAATTATTGTAAGTAAATTTCTAGCTATATGCAAAGAACGAAAGCAACCTAATTAGTAGCTATATGCGAAGATCGAGAGCAACCTAGCTACAATAATTCTTTTTCTTGAACTTCGTAGTTCTCATCAGAATTGCCGGTTGCAGAGTATACGGGTGCCAAAATTGCCTAAGAATTGAAATTTTACTTGCAAGTGGCGTGAAAATTAAGCGCGTCTTGAAGATGAATTTAAAATCTTTAACTCGCACATGGGCACAGGACGTCTTAGTAAAATTTTAACGTCATAGCTTGTCTGGTTCCAGAAATCGCTACTTTGCTGCAAACATTGTCGAAGTGCTCTGCTCCTTGATGCAGCTGCAATCCAAAGCTCTATTTGGCTGTATGAATCTTCATGCGGATGATAAATATTCTCGCAAAATTGCAGCTATCCTTTTCGACTAACTTTGAGTTGGCATGGCGCCAATTGCTAATTTCGACGTTCCGTGTATGTAGTCAGTTTTGTGCCTGA